CACTTACACTACTACTACACTACTAACTACTACTACTACTACTACACACACACACACACACACACACACACACACACACACACACACACACACACACACACACACACACACACACATATATATATATATATACATATATATATATAAAATACTATTCTCTCAACTGATTACCTATACTTGGAAAATAGACTATACACTCGTATACAACACAGTAATCTAGAAAAACTTGCAGTGGACGCTATACAATACCAACACAGTGATAAGTATATCCTTCGAAGATCACTTTGTTCATATATATACCTTTGTGTAGATAATGTACGCTTATTCCATTGTAGTGCACAAGCAGGCCTTAGACGGTTGTAGCGGCCGGCGCGTACGATGCGCAGCACACCATGCGATAGTGACCACATGTTGCTAACCAACGCTGATGACTCTATCTAGATCAATAGAAGAGTTTAAATATCTAGTAGCTAAAGCTCAACACTGTTATGCATCGGCTGTGCCTGATTGAACCGGCAGTTACGGAGAGTTCGACTATAAAAATATAGACATCATGTAAATGGCTCGTTCGCGTGCCGATGACCGTCACCAGACTCCCCGCTGTATCATGATGTAGCAGTTCAAAAATCCATCATCCGAATTCAAAGAACCACGAAATCTATGGCAAAAAGCATGTCAAGGCGTGATGACACTTCTTGGACGTGTCACTTTGTAGCCCTCGATTTAAATAGTATCTTTGGAAGGCTATGACTTGGTGCATATTTGCCTGGCCCTCTCCGCTCACACAGGGTAATTTTCTCTGACACCAATACCTGATTGCGACTAAAATTCAGATATGAGCACAGAGCTTTGCTGGTGTCTGCAACCGGCGAATTCAGTGGTGCGGTGTGAGACGGATGGTACCTTTAGGAGCGTCGTCGAGACAACCCATCGGCTCATCAAATGGTTTCTATTTAAAGTATGTGTAAAGTTTGAGGCTTTTGTTAAGTAGTAATAAATAATGCTATAGCAGTAATGTATGTGTGTAGGGTGGGAGGGATGATGATTTTCTTGTAAACAGTGTGGTTGGTTGATTCCGAAGTCAATGTTCATTTCACCCCAAGGCATATTTATTCCCATCCCAGTTGGCCTTGTGTACAAATTGGACGTAATAGTTGCGTCTCAATTAAACGGACTTTCATAAATATGCAGATCGCATTCATTCTTGTACTTCATCCATCTCTGATTTCGAGGCACAAACGGTGAGACGTAAGCAATCGATGTGTGGCCCAGACAGTGTACCCCGCAGTAATTAGTGCATTTCTGTCTCGTCCAATGACTGTGACTATCGCTTCGAGTGCTTAGAGTTGCCATTTAATTGTTGCAAGCCTCTGACTGAATGTCCACAGCGGAGACCTTAAAGTGCACCACGTACAAGCAGATGAACAGGCACTCGAAAAATTGTCACAGCCACACGTATATAGTCAATCAAACAGAACAGACTGACTTTAACGTCGCTAAGTATATACTACTATATACACACAAAACATTGCCGTACACTTCATCAGCGCGTGTATGGCACATACAATTAATGCAAGCCAAATATCAACTGAATCATCGGAGTTGTTGTGCCAAACGTGATTTTTCAATATAGTTGTTGATCGTGTTACTTGTGTCCGATATGGTTCAGTAAATATATATAGGATACGGATAGACTAAGCCGTCAAAGTGCAACATTCGTATCTTCACGAAACGAGCTTTTGTGCCGAAAAGAACTAGTATCATAACTCTTGGACAAGAATTAGCGCCAGACGTAGATCACAAAATTGGTTTATTACGCTCGGATGTGGGCCGGTAGGTCTTTGAAGTATCGATGTCGCAGAGCATCTTCTGCGCTGATACGGAAATCGGGCATATAAACAAGCATGGATTTGAGTAGATCAAGTCCACTCATATCCAGATTATTAACGGCAGAGGAGAGTGGTTGAGCCGCATACATGGGGAACTCGTACTTGCTCCACTCCGGGAGCTCGGTAACTCCATACCAGATTTCCTGCAGAAATATTGTATTACATTAAACGGTCGTAATGCAATATATATATACACACAAACACACACACACACACACACATATATATATATATATATCTATAAATATACTAAAACGTGAAAGTCGTACTATTTTAACGATGGTATCCCACGGTTCTGATATGTCTTGATATGCACACAGCTATGTGTAAGATAGTATGCCGGTCGCACGGTGGTCCCTACCTCCACCGAACGAAAGTAGCCATTCTAGTGCCAGACAATCAGAGACACAATATGTCAACCCGGAAGCTACTGATGGACTGCATCCCATGACACATGCATCCCATGACACATGCATCCCATGACACATGCATCCCATGACACATGAGTGACATGCATCGACTACTTTCCCCACACACACACCCATATAGATATATACAGACTTGTACCTTTAGTATATGTAATACTGCAGTTATCGATTTAAAACTAAAGATATCTTCAAATCAGAATACATACGCAGGCACGCCAACAAACCACTCGGTACACACCTCTGTGGGCGTCCCCAAGAACTTGAATATGCGCAGAAGCTGATCTGGTGCCGCTAGTCCAGGGAAGAGGGGTCGACCTCCTGAAGTGCGCATTTGCATTTGCACAGGTGGAAGTGTGAGCAATACAGACACAGAAGCTAAAATAACGTCATCATACATAACCCAGAAACTATATTAGTGCCATCATACTTAGCATGGCCAGTATAGTCGAGTCACCATATAGAGCATAGTAACCTTAACAGCGTAGACATAAATAGCACAGTACTTATGGTGCGAGTGGCGGTGGCAGGCGCACACGAACTACTGCGCCAGGGGTGCAACAGAGTGTATTGGCGTAGTCGCAAGTTCGACACAGCGAATACGGTGTTTGCGTGTTGGTGTTAAGCAACCAGGCAAATCGGCTAAAAAAAAACGACCACAACCAGAAAGCGAAAAAGACAAAATTAGGACGGTTTACCATACGCAAAAGGCACACCCATACTTGCGAAGGTACGCCCTTGGTCAAGAGTACTAGTCCAAAGTTCCATGCTTGTCAGTTATATAGCATGATGGAGGTATAACCTACAGACGCTTGTGCGATCGGGTTGTGTATACTGGTCGGATGACAAGGCAATCTCCATACAGACTCAGTCACACACACACAAAGCAACGCCCAGCGAATGTATGTCGGCGGTAGAGGTCAATAGAGCCACGGGTCTACGAGACGATACGTCCCTAGCAACGCATATTGATCATTTAACCGACAATGAGTGAGTCCTTATTTACGTACACGAGCACTGAGTGACGTCATAGTCATACACGTAGGGCGTTCAATATGCCCTGTGCTGTGCGATTGATTGATGTTCGCAAGTTTGATTGCCCACCAGGAATCCTGTATATGTGTACACTCGACTGTGTACACGCTCGCAGGTGCGTATGAGGGATTGCGGTTGGGAGTGTGCCGGCAACAGCGATGTTCTCCAGAGTAGCGTAGATACTACGACTACGGGAAGATACCACTCCTATCTGCTACTAAAAATACCACTCCTATCTATCTAAAAAAAAGTACCACTCCCATCTATCTACAGGAAGAAGCAACTCCTATCTATCTACAGGAAGATACCACTCCTATCTAATTACGATCGTGAGTGAGATCACTCCCACTCCCTTCAGAATGAGCCATATATACAGCGCCCATCCACGTCAACTTAATAGGCCTCAACTCGGTGAACGCATGTTTCAGGGAATGTACCAGGCACACATCTCACATACAGAATGATTTCGAGCCAGCAGTATGCACTTGAGGAACTTGCTCACGGAAAGCTACAGAACTAACCCACGCCGTGAATTTGGGACAATTCGTATACTAGACCGTAGAGACAAGACGACGACAACCCGCACTGAAACGACATAAACTTGAACTCGTTCGATAGCTACGCAACGTTCACACAACAGAATGCACAAAGCTATGTGAGCCAAGCAATCTGCCATAGTAAACCACCACATAATACTTTAACATGAATACACATATGACATTCTTCATAAACAATTATATATCTAGAACACTGTTTATATATATATATATATAAATGTATATATATATATATATATATATATATATACTATATATAA